AATCGCTCGCTCACAACTTGAATGCCGGTGGCTCACAAAGTAGAATTTTTACTCACAAGACTCCACAGCTTAGAGGGAACATTGGGTGGAACCAGATTTCAACAATTTCTACCGACTACAAGGTTCATAGAGTAAAGAGTGAATCATAGGGCACCACCAACTTTATATTTCTTAAATACAGTTCCTATTTTGGCAATTTCTGATGGTGTTTCTCCTAGCGGATTGTGTGTTATCTGGGACCTTGGCGACGCTAGTTTTTGGATAGACAAACTGACTAGCTTTTCTGTCTCTGTACATTTTCACAAAATAATATGACTTGGGTTTTAGTTTACGGTCGTTCCCTCAGCTCCCCTACCCCACCCCAATGTGACCTTTTGGAAAAATATTGTGTGATTTAAGTAAGCGTCCGTTTTCCCTTGAGTAAATGGCTCTTGCGCCAAGAGCCGCACCATGATACGCAGGGCTTTTTGTAGCAGGAGCTCCTTTGCGTATTAGGCGACACACCCCTAATGTAGCCAATCCTCCAAGAGCTTACAGAGCTCTTCCTACAAAGGCTACTGTAAGCTCTTGGAGGATTGGCTACATTAGGGGGGGTGTCACCTAATATGCAAAGGAGTTCCCGCTACAAAAAAGAGCCCTGAAATTGATACGTACTTTCACCTGGAAGAAACGAACTCCGATCTGGTCACGATCTGCACACCTCCCCAGTGGCTCCCCACCCCTTTCTGGTTTCGTTGCACATTTTGCAGACGGTGCGTTTATAACAATTCTCCCCTCTGCGGCAGAGGTAGATAAGGCTGGCGTGGACGTCTAACAGCCTGAACAGTCTCACCCAAGTCGACCAAAGTCAGTGGACTTCAAAAGGACCACTCTGCTTACCCAGTGTTCCCTCTAAGCGGAGTTAGTCAAACTGACTAGCTTTTCTGTCTCTGTACGTTTTCACAAAATAATCTGACTTGAGTTTTAGTTTACAGCCGTTCCCTCGGCTCCCCTACCCCACCCCAACGTGACCTTTTGGAAAAATATTATTTGTGTGATTTAAGTAAGTGTCCATTTTCCCTTGAGTAAATGGCTCTTGCGCCAAGAGCCGCACCATGATACGCAGGGCTTTTTGTAGCAGGAGCTCTTTTGCGTATTAGGCAACACACCCCTAATGTAGCCAATCCTCCAAGAGCTTATAGAGCTCTTCCTACAGGGGCTACTGTAAGCTCTTGGAGGATTGGCTACATTAGGGGGTGTGTCACCTAATATGCAAAGGAGTTCCCGCTACAAAAAGAGCCCTGATTGATACGTACTTTCACCTGGAAGAAACGAACTCCGATCTGGTCACGATCTGCACACCTCCCCAGCGGCTCCCCACCCCTTTCTGGTTTTGTTGCACATTTTGCAGACGGTGCGTTATAACAATTCTCCCCTCTGCGGCAGAGGTAGATAGACTGGCGTGGACGTCTAACAGCCTGAACAGTCTCACCCAAGTCGACCAAAGTCAGCGGACTTCAAAAGGACCACTCTGCTTACGACCAGTGTTCCCTCTAAGCGGAGTTAGTGTGAGCTAGCTCAGTTTTTTAAGCCTCCGGCTCACACATTTTTAGCTCAGGAAGGACGGCTCCAGAGCAAACTAATTTAATGCAGTAGCCAAGTCGCTTGCTCACAACTTTAATGCCAGTCGCTCACACAGTAGAAATCGTGCTCACAACTTTAAGGCCAGTCGCTCACACAGTAGAATTCTTGCTCACAAGACTCCACAGCTTAGAGGGAGCACGGCTTATGACGGCATTAGAACATTCTCTGTACAGTGCATTTTTTATAATGGGTTATCCACCCACTCCCGCCCTTCCACAAAGAAGAAGAGATTGGATTTACACCTCGCCCTTCACTCAAGAGTCTCAGAGCGGCTTACAATCTCCTTTCCCTTCCCCTCCCCACAGCAGACACCCTGGGTGTGAGGTAGGTGGGCTGAGAGAGCTCTTCTGAGAACTGTCCTTGAGAGAACAGTTCCGAGAGAACTATGGCTTGCCCAAGGTCATCCAGCAGCGGCAAGTGGAGGAGTGGGGAATCAAACCCAGTTCTCCCAGATTAGTGTCCGCACACTTAACCACTACACCAAACAAAGCATGCCAAATTGAATTATTCAAAAGAGGGTTTGTTTCTTGCTCAGGTAACAAGGCTGTACTATAATGAAATGGTTTGGAAAGATACTCTGGTAAAGGGACAGGAACTGTGGAATACACTACCGCATACTGTCTCTTGTTAAGTATGCTACTTCTGCATCATTTAACGTGTGGTTTAAATGTCTACCATTCAACCCCTCTTGTGCCGTTTACTGGGCATCTATTCCTGCCCATCGTATCGACTTACAACTTGCCTTGAGCTTCAGGGGAAAAGACAGATTATAATGTAATAAATAAGATGTTGCAAAAAATGTTAGCTGCAACTATATCATTTGTATCAGAACATTTTTATTAAAAATCCAGAGAATTAAAAAAAAACCAGATACATATACAATTGTACTAGAATTTTGTATGCAAAGTATTGGAAAAAAGAAGAAATCCCATCTAAAGAAGAAATAATCTACAAATTATTGGAAACAGCGGAAATGGACAAAATAACTTTACAATTGCAAGACAAAAAAGAAATTTTTGAGAAGAACTAGTCAAGGTTCTATAAATGGATCGAGGACGGTCTTGCAGAATGCGCAACATAATATTTAAAACATAAGCTACAACTTGAAAATGTTAAAACAGATCTAGGTGTATAACAGAACGATTCTATCTATGTAAAAACTAAGTCGTTATAATGAGTACAGACTCCACATTTGTTATTTAAAACAAACATAAAACTCTTTTAAATAAATAAATAGAGAGAAACACTAGTCCCCAAGATATGTTAGCGGCTCCTATTCGCTTTCGGTCGGGTCTTCCTCAAAAGCCTCTGTAGGTGTCAGCTCGATGGGAAAACCTCGCCGGGGGCACAGCGGCTTCTGCCTTTCACATCTTCGGTGCTCCTTCACGTCAGGCTAAAACAGAATTAGGTTTCTGAAATTACGCCCTGGGTTGGAGAGAGCGGACAAAGAGAACTCTTTCTCCCTCTCCTGAAAAATCCTGGAACTCGAGGGCATCCAAAGAAGCTGATGGGCAGTAGGTTCAGGGCAGACAAAAGGAAATACTACTTTACAGAGTGATAAAAATGTGGGATCTGTAGCCGGAGGCTGTAGTGATGGCCACAGGAATAAACAGCTTTCAAATGGGATAAGATAGATTCAGGGAGGAGAGATCCATCAGTGGCTACTAGCCATAGCGAGGGGAAGGCCTCAGCCTCTCTGCACTGCTGTTGGCCCTCCAGAGGAACTGGTAGGCCACTGTGTGAGATGGGATGCTGGACTGGATGGACCCTCACTGGCCTGATCCAGCAGGGCTCTTCTGGTGTTCTTATGAAGGCCTCGGCCTCCCTGCTCTGTTGTTGGCCCTCCAGAGGAACTGGCTGGCCGCTGTGTGAGACCGGATGCTGAACTAGATGGACCCTCCCTGGTCTGATCCAGCAGGGCTCTTCTTCCGTAAAGGGAAAGACATCACCATTAGCAACTTCACCTCTGTTGACTATCAACACGCCTCCAGAAGTAATATACACTAACATCTGCCTCACATATAAAATAACCCAGCCAAAATCAATCGTTCCATCTTATTTAGAGAGAAGGGGGGGATATTCTCCCCATTGCCAGCTTTTCTTCTCCTGCATAGCCAAGGGAACAGTAATAGATTTGAGCACTAAGGGCCTTGCTTAACCACCGCCAAACCCATTGGTCCCTCAAGGTGGGTAAACCTCTGCTCTGGCCATGGTGGACCAGGGTGTTTGGCGGAGGGTGTTTCCCTATCAGTTGTTGCCTGATCCTTTTCAAGTGGGCGTCAACGTGGCCAATGGGGTTCAATGTGGCCAAGTGCAAAGGGATGCACATTGGAGCCAAAAATCCTAGCTATAAATACACGTTGATGGAGTCCAAACTGGCAGAGACTGACCAAGAGAGAGAGATCTTGGAAGTGTAGTAGGTAACGCAATGAAAATGTTGAGACAGTGTGCGGCTGCAATAAAAAAGGCCAACGCTATGCTGGGGATTATTAGGAAGGGAATGAAAACGAATCAACCAGTAGCATCATGCCCCTGTATAAATCGATGGTGCGACCTCATTTGGAGTACTGTGTACAGTTCTGGTCACCACACCTCAAAAAGGATATTATATCATATATGAAGAAAGGTTAAAGCGCTTGGGGCTCTTTAGTGTGGAGAAACGACGGCTGAAGGGTGACATGATCAAGGTTTACAAGATTACGCGTGGGATAGAGCAGGTAGAGGAAGAAGTACTTTTCTCCCTTTCTCACAATACAAGAGCTCGTGGGCATTCCATGAAATTGCTGAGCAGTCGGGTTAGAACAGATAAAAGGAAGTCCTTCACCCAAAGAGTGATTAGCACTACAAGCATGGACGGCTTCAAGAAGGAACTGGATAAACATATGGAGCAGAGGTATAGATAGGAACTCTCGGTCTGGGGCAAGTGATGCTCTGTCTTGGTGCTTGGGGGGGGGGGCAACAGTGGGAGTTCTGGCCCCACTGCTGGACCTCCCGGGTATTTTTGGCCACTGTGTGACTGGATGGGCCATTGGCCTGATCCAACGTTGGCTT